ATTCCTACGCGCGCCGGGATTCCGTCGCGGTGAATGTATTGTCCGCGGGACAATGCGGCGGCTGATTGCGAAGCGGCCGGGTGAAAACTTGACCCGAAAATAAACCGAATCGCTCGAACGCCTCGGTCGACCGCTGCCAAACGCAGTCGTTCGGAATACACCGAGAAAGGGAATTGACTTGGACTCTGTACAGAATGTTTCGGCTCGCTACCGGGTGTATCTTCGGCCCCCGTATAAAAATATCTTATTATTATTAGATATCTTATATATATGTAATAATAGTATCTATAGATTTTTTCACGTTACTTTTCCGATGAATTTTTAAGCGACGAGAATTAAATTTAGGGTTGCACAAGACTCAAGACAGTGATGTCAAAATGCAGACGCGGTTCACACGCACACAATCAAAGAACCGCGTATATATGCTGTATGCAAAATTTTGTGTAGTTAAATAATTGTTGAACATTTTATATCGATTATTTTGTTTATTGTATTAATTATTTCTAAATTTGTTAATATAAATGTTTTTATTTATTAAATAAAATTTTTTAAGTTTGTATAATATAGTAATTTCTTCTCATTTAATTTATACACACACATAAATATACATATTTTAGATTTTTTTTAAATCAATAATCTTGACAAGACCAATAATTGACAAAGTTAGTCTTGATATTTTCTTGATAACTAATTAAAAATCTTGTCTTGAATTTCAAGATAATAAGACAAGACAATATCAAGACTAGTCTTGATATCTCGTGCAACTCTAATTAAATTTGACATTTAATCACAGAGAGAATATTAACTTTAGATATAAAGTTTCAAAATTATTCCGCGACTCCAATGTGAACGCTTTTCAAGTTTAATTGTCTTTAGATCTCATTTCAATGCTCGATACAAAAATGTTGCGACACGTCATGTATCGTCTGTTGAATTTTTCATCAAATAACGGAAAGCGCGACTTCAAACCGTCCAAAGAATTTGATGGCAGGAATTTTCGAATAGCGGTATTTGAGCGGTGAACGGACGTCCTCTATGCAACCGTGCATCCCGACAATTCTTCGATCCGAGCACCGGCCGAGGCTATTGTCGTGCCATCGCAGGTGAAACGTCGATCCTAAACTGTCGCTGTCGCTCAGGAAAGCAGACATCGGCAGGAAAAAGTGACTTGCGCGACGGCGAGTCACGATGATTTGCAAAAGAGAATTCGTTCATACTCACCTCACTTGAGTCAGCTTTATCACGCTTGTCAACTACTCATCAAATTTAAGCGTGTATATTTAACAAATTTTTCATTGCCTCATCTTATATACGCCATCTCATATATATTATCTAAAATATTAGAAATAATAACAAGATATATAATGCAAGATAAACTATTAAATAATAATAAGATACGATGCGATATAAAATATTAAAAATTTTTTAAAATATTATCCGTTAAAGAGATCGCTTCAAAATTGGCTAATGGATCCCTGGAAAAGCACGGAGAACGAAAAGACGCCACGACCGTAAAAGTCTACTAACGTAAAATACAAGAGAGGCAACATTCCATAAACCGAGCAAAAATAGAGTATATATATATCGAATATCATGCCCGGAACAGAGTGCGGCGAGAGACGGCAGTTTAGTTTTACTTTCTCGGTAATAATGCACGGACTGCTTTTCCGCTCGATTGTAAATATGGTCGGGCCGCGCTCTCCGGCACGATTGTAAATACGATCGGAGCGTGCACGAAAACCATGCCCGTTTTTCCCAGACAACTGAATCCGCTAGATCGCAATGAGACGGTTTATATTCTTCGCAGGCGCGATGGAAGCTTCTAAACACGTTACGGTATGTCATAAACGCCACGAGAAAGCAGCGGCGAATATAGAAAAATGTTCAAAGAGGTAGAAGAGATTATCAGTGTGATCCACGGAGAAAACTTTCAAACGTGGAATCTATACAAACATTACATAAGCTCTCGAAAAATGAGACCTGAATTTTTAAAATTTGTACGTGGCATTTTACATAAAAAAGAAATTATATATATTATTATTCATATAAAAAAAATATTGTTGTTTTTAATTTTATCCATGATATAACTTAGAGAAAATTGTATTATAATTATTTAATAAAACATATAAAAAAATATAAAATTTAATCAAATTTTTAAGGAAAAAAATTATTATTTGTTTTGATAGATCCACTATTGTGGAAATGAATTTTATGTAACTAAATTATTTACCCTCGCTTCCATCTTGCTGTGCAGTGGTTTTTCCTTCGTTTCTCTTTTTTTTTTTTTTTAAATAAACATACGCATGAGAAAGAAAATAAATTTCAATCGCGAATGGAAAAGAAAAATATGCTTCTTTAGAAATGTCGTTAAAGGATGGAGTGGATCTTGTCTTATATATGTATTTAACTCGTGATACGCGGATTGTGAAGAAAGCGAGCGGATAAATCTTTACAATGAAGTTATTTCGAAGTTTATTAACAAGGATAGCATGCAATTTTCTCACGTTCAATACATTTAAACTTTTTTAATAGGCTTATATTTTTTTCATCAAATATCAACCAATGACTTATATATCATACGAGAAAAAAAATTTTTTTTTCTGTTACTAGCATTTTCTTCATATAAATCAAATGTAATATGTAAATGCATAATTATTTCATTATTGACTTATTTTTTCGCGTTTTACATCACCAAAGGTGGATATACATATATTATTCTCTCTTTCTCTTTATGTAATTTTAACTTATCAAATATTCGCTTTATGACTCACTGAAGTTTATAACTCACTAGAATAATTGGAAATAAAACATCTATGCAAACTACGAGACAGTCGACTGTCACAGCAGAGATTTCATATGTTATTCTGTAACAAGCTTATCTGTGAGGAAAGGTTTTGATATAGGGCTTAACCGTGTTTATAACCGCGTAAGCAGAAAAGTACTTTTGCACACGTTTTCACGGCGATATTTATCGCAATATTTCATACAGCGCGGGATATCCTATTTTTGTTTCACTTCGCGGACGTTCCCACCTAAAAATGTCTGTTGTTCGATGTTACGCTAACATCCGCGCGCTCGTTGCGTTTTATACATTTTTCTTTGAAAATTATTTAACAAGATCCATTAGCGCCTTTTGAAATTAATCTCCCGCGCGCAAATCAAGAAATTATTCGATTAGTCTCTCTACAATTAGTCTCGCGTTATATACGATAAACTGAATAGAATATATTTGAATTTATATTTTTCTTTATCTAGCGCAAAAATGCATTATTACTTAATTATTGGAATCTTCCTGGCGGTATGAGTAGATTAATATCTAACAGAATTCGTTTTTATTAAGATTTTTAAAGTCACCAATATTCACCGGTTGAACTGTTATTATTACAAACATCAGAACTTATAGGACGAATCTGTGAGACTCCACTTTTCCTTTATATTAGATCAGACAAGATTGCTAGCCTTCCCGGTAAGATGATTTTGTGTTGCTTCCTGTTGCCATTCGTCCTCAACAAACACGATCGTGCATGAAGCGAAAACAGATTGGCCCGTCCGGCACTGGGTCCGTCATTCTTTTCCACCTATTTTCCTTAAACTCACTGCTCCGCCTTCCATCCACCGGTCGCATTGTAATTCCGACTGAACAGTTTCGCTAGTGGCAAGTTCCTACGTGCTCGGCATGTCAAATTCGACACATAAAACTGCCGCAGAGACAGTAACCGTTCTGGCTTAACGTATCGTCGGCACGTGTCACCGTCACCGTCGTCGTCGTCGGCGGTGTCGTTATAGTCGTCGTCTATACTTGCATTACTATGCTATTACTATGGCAAACGCGCGGACGCCCGTAAATAATTGGTATCGGATGCTCATTAACTAAAACGCCCGCCGTTATCAGCGAGTCGGCTCACGAGCGCCGTAACGTCACAATAAAATGCGCAGAGTGCAATATAGGTTGCCCCGAAAGAAATAAATCAATCTTTCGCGAAGGTGGATGGGATAGTACTTTCAATTGCGAACTTTCTTTCGATAATTAATTGAAAGCCAAAAGAAATTAAATGGGGAAATGTGATTGAAATGAATTGGAATCATTGTACAATGCAAGATGTAAAAAAGCTTTGAAGAAATAAAATTCGAGAAAACGACATATAATTTTTTAATTGTGAGTAAACTTGAATAAAGAGTTAGGATATTTAGAAGAAATGTGTGGTGACAGATATACACATATATATATAGAATTCTTTCAATTAATTCTTGAAGAGAAAAAATCGTTTACGTGTTTATCCAGTTGTAGTTGGAAAGAAAAGCACGGTATCTAGGGCGTCCTATATAAGGACGAATGGCACGTCTTATTAGCAGGCAGCGAACAAAGAAAGAAATAACGCAAGACGTTTATTAGCAGTGACTCTTCGTCTTAGATGTTCAACGTTCGCGTCTCATCACGGTTCGTTTCGAGCGCCATTATCTTTAATTAGTTCTTGTCAGGGAATTAACTTTAATTGACGAACACGACTGTATCCGTTCGACATTATAGATCGGTCGAGAAAATTTACTGCTATTAATATTTATTTAAAATAATGATATTTAAATTAAAAGAATTAATGCAGCGGGTTTACAAATAAATCCGTTATATATTTTATATATTTTTTCCGCAGTACATTAAGATAGAAATGCACAAGTTCTATAAATTGTCTATAATATAAAATTAGATACTTAAAGAGAATAACTACTTTTGAATTTACGTTAGCACAGAAATCTCGATAAATTTTTTGCATGCAACATTCAGAATGTAAAAATAAACTTATAAAAAATTACTGTTGTAAAAAAGAACTATAGAAAACATTTTTAAGCTAGAATACATTTCCGTGAAAAATGTTCATGAATTATTTTTCAAAATAAAAAGCTGAAAAAGCTTTTAGTTTTGCAAAAATCAAGTGTGAGAGATAAAACCTAAAACTTTTCTAAAACGCAGAAATTCATTATATGAAGTAACGATGCAAACTCACAATTGAAATATAATAATATCCCAGCGACGAAGACAAAGATGACGACCAGGAGCACCAGCAGGAGCAGCAGTATGGTCGGCCTGCACCAAGGACTTCTGATTACTTCGGTTTGCCTGCCATCCTTGCTGGCCAGACGTTTCTGATCGACCACGGCAGACTCACCGCTAACATTTACCACGACGCCTTTGTAAGTGTATTGAGGCGCTTTTTTATCCGCCAAGAAGCCGTGATCGTCCTCAGGATCCGAGTAGACCCCGTAGGCCTCGAAATTACTCTTCCTGTATCCATTCATCTTTTCCGCGCCGGTCTCTTCCTGATCCTGATGCTTCCTGGCGTACGCACCGGACGAGGACGAGCCCAGCTCGCCGATCTTCAGGGTCTGATCGTAAGACTTGTCCTGGAACCTGGACGATGTCGTGCTCTCATACTTGGATCTCTCGTAGCTCTTGGAGCTCGTTAACCCGTACTTGGGCTCGTAACCGCCCTTGCTGCCACCCTCGTACGTCTGCTCGTCGTACTTGGGCTCGTAGGTAGACCTGGGCTCGTACGTCGGCTCGTAGGACTTGCTACTCTCATACCTGGGCAAAGTGCCGTACATCTTGCTGACCGAGTGATACTTGCTCTCATACTGTCTGGCTGGTGGTTCTTGCTGTCCGGAGCAGGCGAGATCGTAAGCAGAATCGTGAGTCTTCACGCCTGACTCATAACCCTTGGAGGCGGCCGGCTCATAGATCTTGCCCGGATGATGATGGTGATGATCCTTCTTTGGCTCCAGCTTTAGTGTCTCCTCGGCATAACGCGACGCGTACTCGTAGTCGGTCAGATCCCGCGAGTATCGTCTGCTCGAGTCCGACAGCTCCGGATAAGCTCTGCTGAGCTTCTGCGCGTCGTTATGATCGTAAGGCGCATCCAGGTCCGACTCCTGATAAGTTCGCTGATCCGCGCGACAATCGGCGTATCTCAGCGCGTCCTCTGGATAGATCCTGTTATCGAACCTTTCGAGGTTCTCCCGATCAAAGCCGACGCCCACCTTTCGATCGTAATTCCGGTATCCCCTCGACTGATCGTGGTAGGCACCCTCGTGGTAGGCCGGCGCTGCCGAGGCGGACGATTGGGGATCCTGATAGGACTTGATCTCTTGGTACTCCAGGTAACGGGAGGACCTACGCTCGCTACCATAGTCCATCGAGCCCTCAACCACGTTAGGCAACTTGCTGCTCAAATTCTCACCAGTTCCGGCGGACAACGCCTGGCAGGTCTCCGCATGCTCGACCAGATTCGGCAGCCGCGACAACGAGCTACCTGGCGTGTTCTCCGTCAGGTCGAGCTTGAGGCCGTTGCTGCTGGTCCTGCGCATTTTCGAGGATTCGCATGATCGTTCCGGAACGATCGCGCTACGATCGGTGAACGATGACGCTGGCAACGATCAGTCGACGGTCGAAGTTTGTAGCGCGATTTAATCAGAGATGCATTTTTGTGTTAGTAGCGGATTCTTCGCGGGATTAGCAGGTGAGCTACGAAGCCTGGAAGCAAAGAGAGAAAAGAAGAAGATTGTTAGTGCGGTTAGTAAATAGATAGTTTTAATAGTCTTAATATTTAAAATTTATTAAGTTAGTACATTAATAAGAAGAGCTTTCTTTATCATTATATTTTTTCTAGATTTATAATAAGCGGTTTAAAACAAGATTATCTCATCTTAATGCGATAATTACTAATTTAATGTATTGATAAAACGCTCAATTTTAATTAATTTATAACTTTCCTAGCATAGAAAATAATACTGAAACTATAAAGGCAAGGGAAAAAATTTTAATTAGTATTCGAAGGTTCAATTCACTTCTTGATCTTTTACAATAGCGGATCAGTGGATTACGCAGGCATATCTATACATGGTTTGTTATCGATACGTGTATCTCTCTCTCTTGATACGGCATTCAGGGCAGCAATATTCTGTAAGCGCTTCTCCAGACTGCGATTACCCTCCGCATGCTCGGTAGCTCACGAATGGCCGCTATAGCCAATGATGACGATAATACCCGATCGTGCGTGACCGAAATGCGGCTGCATCGCAGTCAATGATAATGCGCCCGTCGAATACATCGGTCGCGGAGTTCCCGGAAAATTGAAGTTGCTTAAACACAATGAATAGACGATGGCAGCGTTGCAAGGCAAACAATTTCTTTATCGTATAAGGATTAAGCGCGATCTACTTCTCCCGTTGCGATTTCATCTTTTCTTCCCTCGTTCCGAGAAATCGCGCACGCTCCCATTTCTCGTAGTAAATTCTATGTTCACATTGCTCCTGTATCTCCGATATTTCCTCGAGGACATTTAATATTAATGCTAAAATAATAACATGCCAATCGCGTACACGCGGTCGTGTAAGGGAGTCACGCAACTTTTATTACATTATTATGCGTGTTTCAGATGACTTCGTTCAAGTAAATTGCATCTATGCTAATGCTTCCATTATAATCCCATAAACCTCTCTGCTTTATTTTTCAAATAACACATTCTACTTTTCATAATTTCAGACAGAAAGAAATAGAGAGAAAGATATATACATATATAAATTTATATAAATTTTTTATTGAATTTTTTATTAAATTGATGCCATTCTCTGTACTAAACACGATTGACATAAATCCAATCGCTGTTGTTATATTTTAAAAATCAACTACATTCCTCAGGATGGTCTTTATTATTCCTCTGGATCTTTAGATCATCGAATTTAAAATCTACAGTTAATAGAATTCCGATTTTAATTTGTTGAATAGACTAGTATACAGCGCTGTCAAATCGACGCTGGATCGATAAATCACATTATTGAGCCACGTCTCTTTCGATTACAATCAGTATATAGTCCGGCCCGACTCCCTTCTCATTGTCAGTCGACGGGGCGTATTCACGATTGAACGCCTACGGCGGATCGATCGATAATTAATTAAACGCGATTGCGGAGGAACGACAAACGTCGCGCTTCCGGAAGTTTCCACCGGATATACCGACAAGAATACCATGTCACCTGTCTCCCGTAGTTGCGGACTTCTTCGAGGGGTGTTTCGCAAACCTACGTTTCGCGACTGCGAGATGACGTTTGCCTTACATTATGTCATATCACATCCGAGACGGTTGATTTCGTTAATCCTTAATAAATGAAACGACATAACTTTAATCGAGTAAAGTTCTAATTGTCCGCGGACGCTGATTTACTGAGAATTCTCTCTATGAGATTTACGAGAATGAGAAATTTATAGTTGATATAAGATACGATAAGTTTAGAGACACAATTTATACTTGTACTGTAATGTATGACGCTCACAAATTGTCATTTATTCGATCTTGTTTTAGATACTAAAATAAATTTTGGGGAAACCTTTTAGACTAGTTTGCATTAAAACAAATAAAATATATGTTATAATCGCCGTTATCATTTATCGATAATTTCGAGCAAGCAATTTGACATGCGGAAACGAAAAGATTTAAACGCTGAACGCATCGGATCAGCTGAGAGGAAACAGCGTCTCCTTCCGGCGATCAATCGCTGATGGTTCTCGCGCCATAAGCCAATGCTGTTCGTCATAAAATTTTCTCTAGCGACTAAACTGGAGTAATAAGTATGACAAGGGCTCAAAGAAGATTGCTGTTCCGCATGCAAATATGATTAGTTCCGGCGTGTAACTTCATTTGCGTATATTAAAAGCGCGGATAGCTCACTTTATGCAAACGACGACGGGATGGGCGTCGAGAATGAGGGGGGCGGGCAGCGAACTGTTGAGGGGGACGAAAAGAGTGGGAAAAAAAAATGTTTCGCGAAGAATTATAAAGAGCGACGAGCGAGAGGAGAAGCCCGTTGGAAAAATAGGCGACTGGAGGCGCAGAGCGGGCGAGAAGCGATGATGGCGTCCTTCTCTGGGAATCCTGATTGCCGGTCGTTAAATGTTCCCGGTCGCACGGCGGCGCCTTGCACTTAAAATTAACGTAACTTTCTAAAAGAATGGTGATTGCGTGTCGCGTGCCCAACGTTATAAAAATGCATCGGACTATAAAGCTTCTTCGCTCGAAGAAAAGAGACAGATATTAGCTGGAGAAACATATCCCTAATATTTTATCTCTATCATGTCGGATGTTCATTTGTCAAGCATTCGTGGCCCGCCAACGCTGGGCGTGACAGAAATAAAATATGCTAGACACTGGACATGCTTCCAAAAAAAAAAAAAAAAAACCCCGATGCTACAAATCTCTCCAGCACCCTATTTATGCCCATCTTTCTTCAGTAATTCAGAATCCGACAGAATGTGTCACTTGGTTCGTGTTATTTGTCACAATTAAGGCAATTAAGGCTTTAATAAAAAATTATGATATAATTGAGGCAACGTATCTATTGTACTTTCAGTACTTGTATCTTTTCCGTATTTTTTCTTATCGTTACGCATACGATAATTTCCTAAAATTTCTTTTTTAACAAGAATGTTTAAAATCTATGAAAACTGCGTACTCTCCCTCTCTCTCTCTCTCTCTTCTGCGTCACTTGGATAAAACTCGGTTTTCGTAACCGCGAATAGTCGCGTTCGCATTTGATTCGCCAGTAGCGACAACGTAATATCCAGGGAGAGAGCGGAATTAATCCACCTCTCGCTTTTTGCCCTCTGCAGTTGCTGTCGCGCGAGGAACGTTTCCTCTGGCGTTTCGCATCGAATGGCGGCGATTATTGTCGCGGGCAAAAGCCTAGCTACGGCCGGAAACAATTCGAGGCTGGGAGCTGCCGGATTAGTAAACGCGAGTCCGTGCTCTCTCTCTCTCTCTCTTTCTCCTTCTCTTTCTCTCTTCGGTCTCACCATTTCGTTCTATATATTCCCCCGTATTCAAACTATCCGAAATACCGACGCGCGCTCGATCGCCGTATGAAACTATTTTGCTTAATGAAGCGCTGTTAAAACTTTCCCCGATAATACCCGGGACTCGACTTGCCTTCCCGTGATTCCCGACTTCGTCGTCCGCCCATTCGGACGCTACCGGAAGATATTCCGAAATTGCACACGGCATATCCCGCCGACTAATAATTCCATCTCGGTATGCACGGCCATTCGATGGCAGAGAGCCCATGATTATAGAGCAACTCTATATGTAAGACTATATATGGGATATTATTCCCGATTGGTTGGAATCGTTAAATGTAACGATCGTTTGACCATTAAGATTTCAAGCCAGGGATAATGTTAAGTAAAATACATATATTATAAAAAATATCTGTGCCACGAACGTTTCTCGCGTATGGTGGATCTATAGAAAACGATAGCTCTATAAATAAAAAATGAGAGGCTCGTGAGACTCGTTATACCTGGCAACCATCTGTCATTAAAATTGCAAATAAAGAATGATATCGGCAACTGAATAAATGGAGAAAATGTCGTCGCGCAAAATATACATATATACATATCTCAAACTCGTTATTTTTCAAAAACTCACTATCTCCAATGCTGTTACCGAATGTCACTATAGATAGATGTCAAATGGAGATAGCGAGTTTTACAACGGAAAACCACACGTTATACCCAAAACGATATTGTCGCGCGAGGACTTTATGCTCGGGAAATTTTCGATCTACAATAGACATTTCGATCGCGCTTTCCCGCCGATTCACGTGCGAGAAAAGATCTCGCGATTTCCACGCCGCGTCCTCCGCGAAAAAATTGCGCTCTTCGATCAACCTCGCGCGTAAATCCTTACATAATTAAATAGCTTGGACTTGACCGGTTATTATAAGAAAGTATGTAACAAGATTAATATCAAGTCGCGGTTAACGAGTTTTCTGCTTGAGAGATACTTCGACGCTTTTACGAAGAACGAAGAGAAGAAGAAGGAGGAGAAAAGGAGACGGAGAAAGTATCGAGAAATATTTGAAAGAAACAAATTAAATTATCTAGGGCTGCTTAACTTTACTCACTGCAATTTCCTTGTATACACAGAGAGAGAGAAAGAGAGAGAGAGAGAGAGTACCTACCGCAATTTCACAGAAGTCATAGGCGTGCTTTGATGAATTCGGAATGAATTTTTCCGCGGCAAAAGTTTCGGCGTTGCAACTTTCGAGCTTTCAACTTTAAGCGTCTTGATAATCAATATACACATTAAGTTTATTATGTTATAGTAAATTCTCTTTGAAATTCCCAGCGGATATAAATTAGTCTTACAATCTCTGCGATATACTAATATAACAATAATATTACACTATATAAATAATAATACTGTTATTAACAATATCGAAGAGAGAGAAAAGATTAATTTAAATTTAATATTTAAAGATTTTCTGCTGTATCTTTCTGGAAATCTCCATAAAAAATGGTTCTTATAAATCTT